CTTCCTCCTTGCTCCCTCCTCCTTCCTCCTCCTTCCCCCCATCCCTGTCTTCTTGCCCCCTCCTTGCTACTTCCTTCCACTTTCCTTTCTCTTTCTCCACCCTCCTTCTTCCGGGGAGAGCGGGGTGGAGGGGGGGAGGGGGAGGAGGTGTGAGGGGAGGAAGAAGACAAGGAAGGGAAGACTAGCGAATGAAGGAGAATCGAGAATACATCGAGAATAGTTTTTTTCTAGAGTATAGAAAACGGAATGTGTCTACGTGAAATCGAAAAAAAAAGCAGCACAGGAAAAGGTACACAATAAATAAAAATTCATGACGATCTTAAAAAAAAAAGAAAAAAAAAAACGCATAGAAAACGAAAAACAAAGAAAAAAAGTCGATCTTCTTTCCCAAAGTCAGCGAGAGAAACAAGAAGTGGAAAGAAGGGTGACGAAGAGCAAGGAATCGGGTACGTTACCTTCTCGTGCTGTGGCTCCTGGGGCTGGTGCTGCCGGATCGAATCGCGGAGCTTCTGCAGCTGAGCGATGATCTCTGTGATGCGCTTCTCCTGGCTCTGGAGGGCCTCGGGGTCGGCGCTCAGCAGCTGGGACATGGAGGCCAGCTGGTCGCCCAGGGGGGGCACGCCGCTGGGCACGGTGGAGGAGGGGGGGCTTGGGGGCGCGGTGCGGCCCTCAGGGGGCTTGCTACTGCGGGGGAAGAGGGGTGTGAATAAGGGGTAAAGTCATAAACATGTATACCAAGAACAATTAGACGAGTAAAGACAATCAACCATTAGCTCGGGAAGCGCGGGCGCGGAGACTGACCTTTCTCGTTCTCGTTTGGCTCGCTCGGCGTCGTCGATCGTGCTGTGGCTCATCTTGGAGGTGAGCCGCTTCAGCACGTCGTCCATGGACTTCCTGGCGGCGCTGGCCAGCATGCCTCCGCGCTCCGCCTCCGACAGGGGGGACAGGGAGTTCCTTCCTTGCTGCTGTTGCTGCCTGCTGCTGCTTGTTGTTGTTGCTGTTGCTGCAGATGCTGCTGCTGTTGCTGGAGATGCTGTTGCTGCTGCTGTTGTTGTTGAAGTTGCTGTTGTTGTTGCTGTTGCTGTTGTTGCTGTTGAAGATGATGCAGCTGTTGCTGCTGTTCGTGCTGTCTGGCAGCCGCCGCCTCCTGGAGCAGCCTGTCGTGTTCCTGCCTGAGCCGGGCCTCCTGGAGGCGGGCCTGGAAGTAGGGGTTGGCGAAGGGGTGCAGGTGCTGCGTGAGGTCGTCGGAGTCGGCGGAGCTCTCCCGACGGCTCCTCTTGGCGTCGCCCGACGCCACCTCGGAGTCGGACCACCTCGCGGGGGACATGCCGACGGTCCCTTCGTCGCAGCCGCCGTAGCTGAACTCTGAGCCGCCGGCGGAGTTGTCGGAGTCGCCAGCGGTCGTGGAGACGAGAGGAGGCGCGTCCTCCACCAGCATCTCACTGGCGTCGCTGTAGGAATCGAGCACCTTCGTCGGCAGCGACTTGCGCTTCGACGACATCGTCAGTCTGGGGAAGAAGCAAAAAGGCTTTCAGCAAAAGCGATTGGCAAGTCCCGTGGCAATATCATCAATTGAATATAAGGATTATACAACACTGCTATTAAAACTAGCACACATATGTCTATGTAATAAAAACAACAGCGGGAGGTGATGGCCAGGCGCGCGCTATCGGGAAGGGAATGAGCAGCAGAAGGCGAGTTGCGTATTTGTCCAACATCAGCGTAAACCATCGGCAATACCTCGACGCACTTGTAAATATTCATATCTTGTAGTCCGATCATGCGATCACTCCCCAAGCAAAGCCAATATAAACCTGAACCTGACATCCCCGCCCCCCTCCCTTACCTCTCTCCCCCACCCACCACCCCCGCCCCCCCCCCCCCGCGCGCCACCCCCGCACCCCGCCCTCCACCTCCTCCCCTCCCTCCTCCCTCTTCGCCCCTGCACCCTGCCCCCCTTCACTCTCCCTTTCCCCTGGTGGCCCCCCATCCGTAGGCTGTCTTCCACCCTTCCTCCTCCTGCCGTGGCCTCCTCCTCCTCCTTCTCCTCCTCCGCTCCGTCCTCCTCCCTCCTCCTCCTCCTCCTCCTCCGTCTCCTCCTAGGCCTTACTCCTCCTGCGCTCTCCTCCTCTCCTGCCTCCTCCGTCCTCCACCCCACGCGACCCCCTCCAGCGCCTCTCCCCGGTCACCATGGGCTGGCTAATAATAGGACGAGCTGCCGTACCAGTCAAGTCTTTACCTGGCTCTGCAGCTGTCATCAGCGACTCTATGGGGTGTGTGATGGACGTTACTCTTACAAACTGTGTTATTTGTCCGCCCGGTGTTCACGCATCTGGCCCTCTCGCTGCTCTGCTCTTCTCATCTCTCTCTCTCTCTCTCTCTTCTCTTCTCTCTCTCCTCTCTCTCTCTCTTCTCTCTCTCTCTCTCTCTCTCTCACTCGGGCTCTCTCATTTCCGTGCGTGTATGCGTGTATGTATACGTATATATGCAAACGAACACACACACTTACACACACACAACACACATATAGAGAGAGGTAGATAGATATAGAAATATATACACACACACATATACAATACGTATATACACACACATTATGCACATACAAGCAATACGGCACGTGCTTGTACAGGCGCGTAAACACACAAGCACCGAGGGCCACGACCCCCCCCCCCCCCCGCGAAGAGAAGGAAATCGCGGGGGAATCGCCGGAGCGGCCTACGTCCCGATCGCCTCCGACGCAACTCGAGCCGCGACCAAGACCAACGAGCACGTAATTACGCCGTCGGAATTCCTGTGATGTCTTGCGTCCGCCGAGTCGCAGCACGAACGGCCGAAAGATGATTTATACTTCCGGCAGCGAACGCATATCGCTTGGCTTCTTCAAAGAGATATTGTCAACACGAACCCCCTTCGCCTCTCCTTCCCCCTCCCTCGCCCCTTTCCCCTTACTCATTTACCCCTTACCCCTCTCTCTCCCCCTCTTTTGCCCTTCCCCTCCCTCTTCCCTCCTTCCCCTTCCCTTACTTCCTCCCCCTCCCTTTCGACTCCACGTCCCTCTTCCCCTCCCCCCTCCCCTTCCCCTTCACATCTACCACCCACAGGGACGAGACAATGGGGGGAGGAGGGGAGGAGGGGAGGGGCATAAGCGACTATGTTTTCTTATTTCATGAATGGATGCGCAGTAGCTTTGCACAGGTGGAGGGAGGGGGGTGAGGGGGTGAGGGGGTGAGGGGGAGGAGAGGTGAAAGGGACAGTGTATTTCCACGATTATTATTATCACTATTATTGAATTTCCCTTCTTCGCATATACATTTTGGAGTGTCCGTCAAATGTTTTCGGCTCTTTTTTTTGCGGTCTGCTTTTTTTCGCGACGACGAGGAAAGAGAGAGAGAGAGAAAAAAACGAGATAACAGAGTGGGGAGAAAAGAAAAACACGTAAAAAAGAGTGTTACTAAAACTTTTCCGAAGTGTATTTCTTGTAGACAGCGCGATAGGGTAGACCAGGTGAGAGGTAAGAAACAGGGGGATAGGGAGAGGGGCGAGAAGAGAATGGGGGGAGAAGAGGGAGGAAGTACAAAAGGGGAGGGGGGGCGAAAGAGGAAGAGAAGGAAGAGTAGGAGGAGGAAGGGGGGATAAGAAGTAGAAAAATGAGATAGAGGAAGGTAAGGACAGATGGAAAGAAGAAAGAGGAAGAAGAGAAGTGATGAAAGAAAATGATATAAGACGGAAATGAAGGAGAAAGAGACGGAAAATGAAATGAAACATAAAAATTAAGACGAAGAAAGGAAGAGGAGACAAAGCAAAAGCAGAAAGAGAAAGAAGGAAGCAATAGAAAAAGATGAAGAAGAGAAGGAAGAAAAAGAGAAAGGGAATAAGGAGCAAGCAGAAAAAAAAAAAAAAAAAACAGGAGAAAGAAGGGAAATAAAAAGAACATGAGAAATGAATAAAGAAAGGAAATGAGAAAAAACAAAGAAAGGAAATAAGAAAATAATGAAATAAAGAAGGGAAATAAGAGAAAGGGAATAAAGAAGGGGAACAAGAAGGGAGACGAGAAGAAGGGGTGAAGCAGAGGATCTTAATCTGTTTTCGGTGTGATCGGCGACCTCGTGAAAGAGAGACGCAGCAATTTATGGCCCATTCGCTCTCTCGCTTCTCCCTACATTTATTCTCTCTCTCTTATGCCCCCTTTTCGTTTGCCTTTCTTCGTTCTTTTAGACTTTTTTCCGTTTTTTTTTTCTCCCTTTTCGCTGTGTGTGATTTTCGTTTTTTTTTTTTAGATTTGAAATTTTCTTTTTCTCTTCTTTTGTTTTTCGTTTTTTGCTATGTACATATTTCGTTCGTTTCTTTAACTTTATTTTCGTTTTTATTTCACTTTTGTATTCTCTTATTTCGTCTTTCGCTCTTTAAGTTTCACTCTCTGTTTTTTTCTGTTCTGCCATTCCCTCTTTCGCTCGTTAGATTCTCTCTTTCTTTCTTCCCTTCTCCTTTCATTCGTTATATACCATTTTCTTTTTTTACCTATTCCTCTTTTCTCATTCCTCTCCTCTTATATTTTTACTCCATTTTCCCTTCTCCTTTCATTCGTTATATACCATTTTCTTTTTTTACCTATTCCTCTTTTCTCATTCCTTTTTCGTTCTTTAAATCTAATTTTCCTTTATTCTCTTCCTATTCTCTCATTCCCCTTTTAGCTCTTTCAACCCCATTTTCTCCCTTCCTCTTCCATCACGGGGTCACTCCCAATTGAAAATCGAAAAGCCTTCAAAAAAAACGAAAAAGAAAAAAAAAAGCCGAAAAGAATACAAGAAAACCGCAATAAATCAGAATGAGCGATGGTGGAGACATCTATTGCACGACAATTTAAGTGGACAGAGAGAATTTTAATGCGCTTCTTTATCAGATAATTGAGGCTACGTTCTAATGGGTTTTAAAGCAGGTAGTGCGTAGAGAAGAGGGAAAAAAGGCATAGGTAGGCATAAACCATTCATAAATCATATGGCCGAGGTATGACACGTGTGGACACTTACTTACATGCGCACATACATACGTACGTACATGATATGTGTATTCATTCACTCGTTTTCTTCTTTCGGCTTTCTATGGCATCTCTGTATTTATTTTCTTCTTCTTTTCTTCTCTCTCTCTCTCTCTCTCTCTCTCTCTCTCTCTCTCTCTCTCTCTCTCTCTCTCTCTCTCTCTCTCTCTCTCTCTCTCTCTCTCTCTCTCTCTCTCGCTCGCTCGTCAGAAAAGTCCCCCGGGTACAGGCTCACCTTAAATCACGACATGTTGGGATTCATTTGGCACCACTTTGTCTAATCCCCCTGGGAGCTCACCCCCTCCCCTCCCTTAGCCTCGATCCCCTCCACCCCCTTCCCTTCATCACCTCCAGCCTCCCTTAATACCCTTAGATCTACCCCTTAACACTCTTCAAGGGTGTGCTGTGGTCAGGTGTGGCTGAGGAGGGAGGGAGAGGAGGGGAGGGAGGGCACTGGACGAAACAGCTGGTGCGATCTCCAGCTGGTAAAACACGCCTTCCTTTTCTCGTTCGCTTTATCCAGGGCTTCGCTATAGAGGGGTTGCCGTGACAGGCGAGGGGAGGGGGGCGCAGGGAGGCAGAAGGGGGTCGGGGGAGGGCTACAAAAGAGTGTGTATGTCATGAGATTATGACATGATGTCTGTCATGAACAAGGGCCAACTGTTTCATGACTATTATTGTTGGGCGCGATGGAAAGGGGGCCGTGGATGGAAGGCTATAAAGAAGGAGGGGAAAAAAAGGGGTGGAGGGAGGGAGGGCGGGAGGAGGAGTCAGGGGGCGTGTGTTGGGGGAGGGGTTTCAATGCCCTCCCAAAGAAGCTGATCCTATTGGTTGAGGTTATAGTACGTTCACTTCTTGCAAAAGGAACGCAGAACAATCGACACCGGAGAGTAAGACAGCAGGAATGATAAAATTATAACGAACGAGGACACAAAACGACAAGAATAAAGAAAAAGAAGGAAAAAAATATTAAACAACTCACGTTAATGGAATATAAACGTACGAGAACTCACTAAAACAGTCCATAAACAGACTCACAGAGAACCCTTTATTAACCACATATCATATTTTTCTGTATTACTTTTTTTCCCCCTTCCTTCTCCCTCTTCGCTCCCCCTCCCCTCCCCCCTCCATTTTTTCGAGTCACTTTCCCCTCTGTTTTCGTCATCCCTTTTCAACCTCCGCACTATATTCCTCAGACCCATTCTTAAGTGTTACTTCCAACCCTTCAATGCCCCCTCCTTTCCCCTCCCCTTCCCCTCCTTCCCCTCCCCCCCTCCCCTTCCCCTCCTTCCCCTCCCCCCTCCCTTTCCCCTCCCTCCCCTCCCATTCCCCTTGCTTAGAGGGAGGAAGATAAAGTTCAATGACTTTCAATACGACTCTCAATCAGAGACTAAATATAAGTATGACCTCCATTGTTTCTAGGGTGCAGAGGGGCGGAGGGGGGAGGGGGGAGGGGGAGGGGAGGAGGGGAAGGATAAGGAAGGAGAGGGAGGGGTAAGGAGGGTAAGGGGGAAGGAAGGAGGAGGAAGGTAAGAAAGGAGGGTAGGAAAGGAGGAGGAAGTGGATAAGGAAGGAGGGTCAGGAGAGCGAGAAAGATGGGAGAGAAGGGTAAGAAAAAAGGAGGAGGAGAATGAGAAATAGGGGGAAGAAGAGGAGAGTAAAATAGGAGGAGAAGGAAGGAGGAGGGAAAAAAGAAAAGAGAAGGAATAGAGAGTGAGTAAGAAGAAAGGAAATGAAATCCGCCCAAGATGAGAAAGAGGAGGAGAAAGAAAGTGAATGACGGGGGGAGAGGAGAGGAGAGGAGAAGAAGAAGAAGGAAGGAAGGCGTGGCGTCCCCCCCACTCCCCAAAAAAAAAAAGAGAAAGGAATGGGGAGAGACGTAAGAAAGAGGGAGAAGAGGGAGAGGAGAGAAGAGTGAAGGAGGTCGAAGGAAAAGCATGCCTTGGTCTTTGGCCCTTATTGATAATCTGAAGACGGCGCTGCAAGTGGAAAATTCTTTGGTATAATTTTAGTCTCCGAAAAGGGGTTGTGTAAGGGGGGAGGGGGAGGGGAGAGGGCGAAGGAGAGGGGAAGGGAAAAAATATATTATATGTCTATCTCTGAGTATGCGGTTGCTAAGTTGTAGTTTTTGAATACATAATATCAGAGGCTTTTTATTCGCAGACATCGCGTGATATGTAATTAGGCATATAATCCTGAGCTGTATAAAGTGTGACGTTTGATTCCTCGGAGCAAATGTATGGCTTGACAAAATGGAGCCATTCGTTGCGCAGCTGATATAATGAATAATTTTCGAAATGAATTGCGCGCGGATCCGATGAGAGAGAGAAAAAAAAAAAATCGACGCTTTTGGTTGTGTTTCCATTCTGAAAATGCATTCGGATAGATTGAATTCATAAAATTGCATTATATTCACGGATTTTGCATTTAGACTCTATGACAATGAACTACCCCCTCCCCTCCTCTCCCTCCCTCCCCCCTTTGCGGTTCCCCTAACAACCACGACGAACCATCATCACCCCTCCCCCCGTCCCCGCCCCCCTCCCAGGCCCCCACCCCCCGCGTCAGAACCGCCCCGCTGCCGCCCCTATTTTAGCTCCCTCAAGTGGCACCGTTGACCGTAATCGTCGGCCTCATCACCATAAAGCCCCGCAGAGCCGGCACCGCACACAATTGTCAGCCAAGGGAGGTATGTGGGTCGCCATTTTGTGCAGCTGCCTCATTGTTGTAGCCATTTTGAAGTTGGCAAGAAAACCCCCTTCTCCCTCTCCCTCTCTCTCTCTCTTCGTCTCCCCCTCACTCCTTCCCTTCCTCCTCCTCCTCCTTCCCAACAGCGGCCCCGGTTCTCCACCTCCTCTCTTCCCCTCCCCTGCCCCTCGCTCTCTCCTTCTCTCACAACTGTCGAGGAGTTTTGCTCCTTGCACGAATGCCGTTGCAGAAATGGTGCTCTGCCGTTTGTTTCTTTCTTCCCCGCCCGGGTTTTTGTCTTCGACCCTTTGCCTTTTTTCGAAAGAGGAAAGAGCTTTATACATTTTTTTTAAGAGACGGAACTATGCTCGCTTCCATCACTCTGCCTTTGGAAATAGAGGCCTGTTTCAGATATTGCCTTTGGAAAATAGAGAGCCTGTTTCAGATATTGTTCCTCTCCCATCACCCCAAAGGGAAGAATCGGAGACGAGACGGAATAAAGGCCCCCACAATACACACAGGGAAATAAGCAGCACGCCCAGACCAACAACTCAACACGGAGAGAAATGGCAGTTTTTTAGGCCATCATTGTCTCGAGATTGGAAAATGCCCTTGGACCCGGCCACCGCGTGGCTTCAATAGCGGATGCCACTCTTCCGCGATCTAGCCTTTCTGCCCACAGTGCCAACCAGGGCCAACCAAGCGAGTTACTTTGGTGACACCATTTTACGCAAACTCCCCCCTTTTGATGAAGCCATTGCTGATGGAAAATCAAGTCTTTGACTTTATTCTCACGGCGACACTGGGACGACGGGGCGAGGGGCGGCTGTGCTGACCTGACCCCTCCCTCCCCTCCCTCCCACCTTCTCCCTCCGCCCCGGCTACCACTCTTCTTGGCACTGTTGTCTCCTCTTTTCTTCTCTCTCTCTCTCTCTCTCTCTCTTCTCTCTCTCTCTCTCTCTCTCTTCCTCTCTCTCTCTCTCTTCTCTCTCTCTCTCTCTCTCTCTCTCTCTCTCTCTTCCCCCCCCCCCCCTCCCTCTCTCTTCGTTAAGAGGTGATCAGAAGGAAAGGCTACCATGGAACTCCTTAGAAGACTCTTGGATATCTTTAGACGCTTTGAAGAACTGGAGGAGGAAGAGGAGAAAGAGGAGGAGGAAGGAGGGAGGGGGAGAGGAGAGAGGAGGAGGGAGGAGGATGTGGTGGTGGTGGTGTGGCGATAGTGGTGGAGGAGGAGGCAAGGAGAGGAAATTGAGGAAGAATAGGAAAAAAGGAGAGGAGGCGGAGACAGCGGTGGGCGTGGCCTTGTCTCAGGGACGCTCTCCTTCGCTTCTCTCTTCCCTTCTCTTCCAGCAGAGACTCTAGTCTCTCTCTCTCTCTCTCTATCTCTCCTTCTCTCTCTTCTCTTTGCTCATTTCTCTCTCTCTCTCTCTCTCTCTCTCTCTCCTCTCTCTCTCTCTCTCTCTCTCTCTCTCTCTCTCCTCTCTCTCTCTCTCTCTCTCTCTCTCTCTCTCTCTCTCTCTCTCTCTCCCCCTCTCTCCTTCCCCCTTTCGCCTTTCGCCGGCAATTTTCCAGCGCGGCAGATCGAGTCAGCGTTAATCCGGAGCCAAGACCCGGCCCCGCGCGCCCGAGAGCCGCGCTCAAAAAGCACGTGGCTAATTGCTACAGCTTCCGGTAATTAAGAGCTTGTTTTGTTTCGCGAGAGTAATTAGTTGCAATTAATCACTTGCCTCTCATTGTTCGCGCATTAAGGCTCATCAGCGCGCGTACACACTCATTCATGTAATATGGCCCACGTACACACAGCCACAAACGATTTCTCACGCGCAAGCACTCCTTCTCGCTCTCTCTGCCGCTACGCTGCTTGCATTCTCCGCTAGATTGCACAGGATAGAGAGAGCAACGCCGTGTTGCAAATGAGGCTCAGCTATGCAAGTGCAGCTGGGGATGCTTGTCTTCATTATTGTCTTTATTTGAATTTATGAATGCCTGTCTGTATACATACATACAATATATATGCGTACATATATACTTACACACACACACACACATATATGTGCATGCATATGTATGTACGTATATGTGTGTGTGTTTATATATGAGTATTCAGGATGTAGTTCTTCGTTTCCCCTCTTCCGACCGGCCGTGGGCGCCATAGGCCTATAATTTCTCTTACTCTTTATCTTGAGGGATCTGCCTCAAGTCTCGACCTCTCGAAATGTGTCCAGAGGCGCCTCGATCCTGTCTCCGGAGTCCCACGCGGATGCCTTCCATCTTTCCAAACATTATTAGCGATTACGTGCCCTTATAAAGAGGTTGGCGACCGATTCCCGAGCGAGGGGAGTGTCCGCTATAGGAAGTCGGCGCCGCGTTCCGGATACGACATTTTCTGCTTTCAAGGAACATTATTTGGCGTTGCGTCCCTCCCGTCGCCTCCTCGATGACTGCTGTCGAAAGGGCACTCGATCTCACCAATGCTTCTTCTCTCGCTTTCGGCGCGCTTTTTGGCAGATCTTCAAGACGAGATAATTTCACCTGGCTATTTTGCGTTGCTCCGTAGCCATTTGATAAAGCCAATTCTGTATCTGCGTAATTCACGTCGGCAGAGCGCAATTGCATAATATCTTCATCTAATTTACGGCCTGGACAGAATACTGTACGCGTCGGAAGGGCCTTATCTGTTTACCCGCCCAAGGGATACCATCTTTCGAAAGTTATTTTTAGAGACCATTAAAGATCTTATCACAAAAGGTACTAATAATACAAATTCTTTAATAGCTTCAGGCACCCGCACTTTTCAGATACCGAAGTCACTAACCGGATAATAGAGTGGCGTTACCCGGCAGATTTAAATCGGCAAAAATGATTCAGATTTATGGCTACCGGCTGGGCTAAGGTTGCACACAGTTGGCGGTTCTCGATGCTGATTGGACACAGCAATTAGCTGTCTTCTGGCGTCGCGGCGTGGGATGGCGAGGTACAGGGGCCTATGTGTTACGCGATTCTCTCTCTCTCTCTCTCTCTCGCTTTTTCGCTTCTTTCTTTCTCTCTTCTCCCTCTCTCTCTATCCCTCCCTCTCTCTTTAGGGGTAATTTTATAATTTTTATCTTGATTTCAAATTTATATACTATTTAAAACATGGATGTTGACCTATAATTTTACCTCTCTAGAGTTTTATTTACAAAGAAGAAAAAAAAAACATGACGGTTTGTCTCCGCTTCTCCAGAGATTTTTATGGTAAAACAATCATTTATTACACTAACACCCATATCAGTGAAATGAAATTTGCATATTTATCCTCACTCTCCTTCTTAGCATATGGTAAACCCGGCGGAACAAAAGCCTCTTATCATAAAAAAGTATTTAAGGTCGACAAAGATATACTTTTCGCCGAGATTTTCAAACGAACGATACAACGGTTTTTAAAACTCACTTAGCCTTCGGTTGCGCGTTACTCATTTTTTCTCCTCCTTTTTTTCATTCTTCCTTCCGGAATTTTTTTCACCCTTTTTTGCATATTCTCTGGCTTCTTCTTGCCCCTTTTTTATCGGTTAATTTTTGGGAGTCACCAGGGCGTTTACAAGAGAGAAACGAAACCTTATTTTTTTAGGATAAGCTCGTTAAAAGACTGATAGTTGTTGGGGTAGAATTTCGGCCCTAAAACGGTTCCGTTAATTTCTTGTATTCGTTTATGCAAATTAGTTATAACGTGGATTTCAATTCTAAACGGCTTATCTTTGGCAAGTTTGGGGACTTTAAAGCATATCTATAATGGAATTAACTCTTGCAAACATACACAGCCATATGTTGATTATATAGTGTGTGTATTCGCATAGTCGCTATTAATTAGAAAGCGAAAATAAGCAAAAAAATACGGAAATATATGTAAAAAAGGAAGAAAAATCCATAAATTGAAGAGTCTGGGGAATTCTTTACGCCGCAGAAAATTAACACCAGCCATATTTTGACGTGCGCGAATTACAGCGGATTTTTGCATTCTGCGGAAGGATGGGGGAGGAAGGGCTTAAAGGGGGGGGGTGAAAAAATCCTAATTAAATGAGAAATGCAAAACGCATCTTTCCCTCTCGCCCTTTCTCTCTCCCCTTTCTCTCTCCTCCTCCTTTCCTTTCCTTCCTCTTCCCTCCCTTGTTCGTGTCTCCCCAACAAGAAAGAGGGAAGATGTTTCCAAGAGGTGCCCCTTCCTTATATAGAATATATATAGAACTCGCTCTCTTTCTATTTCTTTTCTCTGTCTTTGTTTGTCTTCTCTCTCTCTCTCTCATCCTCTCTCTCTCTCTCTCTCTCTCTCTCTCTCTCTCTCTCTCTCTCTCTCTTCTCTCTCTCTCTCTTCTCTCTCTCTCTCTCTCTCTCTCTCTCTCTCTCTCTCTCTCTCTCCTGCTCCTAAAACAAGAGTAACAGCTGCCCTCCTATCATTTCCCTTCATTACACTCTTCTTTATTCATTTTTTCTTCGTCTTATGGTTTATGAAATACAAACGACATAGATTAATGAGATCGCTTAACCACAACTCAAAAAGGAAAAAAGGAGATGTATCTGTACAAAAAAAGAAAGAAGAAAAAAATACTCTGACAGACAAAGGCGATAATGGCTAATCTTGTTAACTGTTCACTCTTTCTCTTTTTTTTCCTTCTTTCTCCTTCTCTTTCTCTTTCTCACCCTCTCTCTCTCTCCTACTCACTCTCCTTCTCACTCTCCCTCCCTCTCTCCCACTTCCTCTCACACCCCCTCCCCCTCTCTAACTCCCCCTCCCCCCTCCCCTCCCTCTCCCTTTTTCTCTGTTTTTCTTTTCTCTCCTCTTCCAATGCCCTTTGAATTTCAAGAGCCTGGCCATTTCTTTTTCCTCCCTGATGTATGATATGCTGTTTATCCAGGATTCAGCCCTACAATTGAATAAACATGAAGAGTGATGATAACGGTGACGTCACGAATGAGTCACGGATGGTGCTTACACGAACGCGAACTTGGACGAACGCGAAGTCGACGACCTCTTGGATGGGGAAGCTATTTCTAAAGGCTGTAATTGTTTGTAATTATAACAGATATTTTGGCTATTGGAGTTCGAATTTATCGTTGATATTATTTGTTTTCTTTTTGTTATTGTGTGATTTTTAATGGATAGATGGATATGATAAAGGGGTGAGTTTTACGTTATCGATACCACCGTTTTATTGCGGATTGAGATGATTAATGTTTTCCTTATCATTTCCTCTCTCTTTCTCTTTCTCTCTCCTTTCTCTCACTCCTCTCTCTATCTCTCTCTCTCTTCATTTCTCTCTCTCTCTCTCTCTCTCTCTCTCTCCATCTATCTCTTTTTATATTTCTATCTCTCTACCTATCTATCTATCTCTCTGCCTCTCTACCTATCTATCTATCCACCTATCCATCTATCTCTTCCCCCTTCCGCTATGTAAATGAGCTAGGGTCACTGGTAACATCCACAATCGGCGGACGGCTCCCCCACCCCCCCCACCCCCCACCCCTCGAGTGTCTATTATAAGACCGGTACCGACAACAGGGGCAAGTGTCACCTGTCACGGGGAAATTGAGCTGAGTTCATCATTTCTTCTCTTTAAAATCTCGAGCCTGTGCTCTTTCGCTCGTTTTCCTTCATTTGTTTTCTCGTTTTTTTTTGTTTTTTTGTTTGTTTGTTTTGTCTTTCTGTTTCTCTCTCTGTCTGTCTCTGCCTTTGTTTGTCTGTCTGTCTGTCTGTCTCTCTCTCTCTCTCTCTCTCTCTCTCTCTCTTTCTCTCTCTCTCCTCTCCACTCCCCTTCACCCCCAAAAAAAAAAATCAACGAAACAAAACAAACCTCACCCAACAATCACATCAAAACGCGAACTTTCCATTCAGCTAATTCGTCAAAACGCAATGATCTTATGCAAATCTGTTCGCATCTTCGAATCCCATTACTCCTTACAGGTATTGGCCAGTTTCCTCGCTTCCAAGTTATCATTCCGTTGTGCCCATTAGCGGAAAATAACCTGGTTGTCACTGATTTTTTTTTTAGCTCTTGCAGATTCTTACAAAAGGAGTCGTCTACACATTTATTCACACACACACATTACACATACACTTTCATTTACACATACATACACATTTATGCACAAACACACACATATATATACATACAAACATATATGGAAATACAAATTCATTCCTATACAGACACACATACATATATACGCACACACACACACGCACGCATATACACACACACACACGCACGCATATACACACACACACCGCACGCATAACACACACACACACGCACTCACACAAACACACACGCATACTCATCTACACACACACATACACACACACGTCCGTAAGCAAGCACAGCATAATATTAACTCACTGATTACACGCAATCTCTTCATCACTCCATTCCGTGCCTTTTGCCACTCATTTTCCTCCCTCCTCTCTCCCTCCCCTCCTTTATCCACCTTTCTCCCTCTTCCTATTCTCCTCTTCCCCTCTGCTTTCCCCCTTCCTTTATCAACCTTTCTCCCTCTTCCTCCTCTCCTCTTCCCCCCTCCCTTTATCCGCCTCTCTCCCTCTTCCCCTCTGCTTCCCCTCACCCCCTTCCTTTATCCGCCTTTTCCTCCCTCTTCCTACTTCTTTCCCCTCGTATAGAGAGAGATACAGAGAGGGAGATAAAAATTGAGCCAGAGCTGATTCCCCTCAGATACGAGCCGGAGATGTGAAGGTGCGAGGAGAAGAGACACTGGGAAGCTTTCCCCTTTCTGAGGCACGTCTTGGGAGTGAGGGGAGAGGCGAGAGGGGAGGGGAGGTGTGGGGAGGTGGGGAGGGGGAAGAGAAGAGAGGAAGGTAGGGAGAGGTTGGGGGAAGGAGGGAGGGAGAGGGGAGGGGAGAGTATGAGGAATGGTGGAAGGGAGGGGAGAAGGGGAGGCAGGAAAGAGAGAGAGTGGGAGGGGAGAGAGAGAGAGAGGGTGGGAGGAAGGAAGGGGAAGAGAGAGGAGGAGAGAGGTGGGAGTGGAGGCAGGATGGGAGGGGAAAAGGAGAGGGAGAGAGTGGGGAGAAGGGGAAGGGGAGAGATGAGAGGAAGAAGTGAGAAGGGGGGATAATGAGAAAGAGGGAAGGGAGGTAGCGAGAAAGAGAGAGAGAGGGAGAGAGGAGGATGGTGGGAAGGAGAGAAGGGAGGTAGGGAGGGAATAAAGGGGAGGGGGTGGGGTAGAGGGAGGAGGGGGGATGGAACGGCTAATGATTCTGCCTGTTGTGGGATTTTTGTTACTTT